TATTCCAGATGAGATTTCCTCATCAATCAAAGAGCATCTTTTGGGGCTAAAATCATGCATGAAGGAATAGTTTCCTCCAATTGATAGCAGTAAAATATGGATCCGGAACCCTTTTATCGTTGACATGAAAAATGAGGAAGGATTACAACTCAGTGAATCAGAAATTGATTCTGTTATTGAACTGCCCTGTAACACTGCACTGAAAGACAGTTTTAGTGAAATCTTGTTAATTAATTTTTGGTTGAGCTGTCATGCCGAACATCCAAATTTATCAGAAAAAGCAGTGAGATTTTTTATGCCCTATGTCACGACTTATAAATGCGAATCAGGCTTCTCAACATTGGTTTTCTTAAAAAACGAGTACAGGAACAGATTAGTTGTCAAGCCAGGTTTGAGAGATCAAACTGACTTCTTTTCCTCCTGCTTTGAAGTTGCTGTGTGATGAAACACAGCATCATCCTTCTCATTAGGTTTATTAAGTTTATTTCTTAAAAGAGCATTAATAAATATACAGTTAATGTAAAGATTAAATAACAATGGAGTATAATTTCTTTTATTTCTTTTTACACACTAGTATTACAGAATACCTGTATATTTTATAATCAATGATGTATTGATAGAACTATTGCTTCCAGCTTGATGTTAAGACTTAGCCATGTCTTAGCGGGTTATCTAATTAGGTATTTGAGGAGGCCAGGTCTCATGAAAAATTACAAAAATAAACCGGTCCCTAGTTGTAAAAGTTTGGGAAACGCTGATTTAGATGGTTATACAGTATTGTTTGTAATTAATTTTCTCTCTCTCTCTTTTTTATTTTTGTTGTTCTTTAACAACAACATATAAAAAATTTCCAGAATCTTTAATATACAGTCAACCATTTGAACTACTATATGTGTGAGAATAAAACTAATTACATATAAATATACATTTAAAAGCATGTAATGTTTCCATTATCTTGGAATGTTGTTTTCAAATATTTACTACTAATTTTTGCACCAATGTACACCACACTTTTGGTAAGGACTGAGGAACATGGCAGAATTTGTATTTTATTTCTTATGTACAAAAAGCTGGGTATTATTAGAATTTGCTGATTGATTAACCTTTGAGAACATTAATCAATTACATTCCATTGACCTTCCCATTATCAAACTGTTTTGGGTTGTTTAAGAACATTTTGAACTACTCTTTGTTTAATACGATAGATACTTTCAGGTACAACAATTCTGGATTAGGTTAGTTTTTTAATCCTAAAGTGTTATACATTAAGAAGTAAGTTATTTTTTTATCTTAAAGCATTGAATTTTAAGGATTAAGTTATTGTTTTAACTCTAAAGTGTTGTACATTAAAATGTATCATATATGCAACTTAGTGTGAAACATTTAACAAGTTAAACGTAATTGATACAATTTGGTGGGTTTCTGCATACACATTTTCACAAGGTTACTCAAGTTGAATAAACTAATTATTTGTTAAAAAGTAATTGTCCTTAGGCTTCATGTGATAAAACAAGTAAAGATTCTTGTTACAGTGTTTGATATATAACATAATTCACTGAAAACAGATTTGTGTCAATCATACTAGGTGATCTCTTTGCAGAGATTTAAATGATTCATTCATTGGAAATTGAAGTATTATAAGAAATGTAAAAATTATGGTAATATGCATAAATCTAATTACAGATATTCCAACACGATATCTTACCACCTCTCAAAATAGCTTTTCTCGACTAGCACTGCCCTCTATCGGCCTTCTTCCTCCCACTTCTGCATATCCACATGCAAATGATTGTGCAGCAGCTCTCAACCAATAGGAGCATCACATTACTCCTATTGTAACCGATGCCCTCTTCACATCTGCACTCATTAACACTTCTCAATTGGCATTAGTACTGTACAGGTGTGCTGGTTTTTGCTCACAGATTTGTTATACTCTTATACTACTGACTTTTTTTTTTGAAAATCTGCTCCATCCATCCTGTGACCATGCTCAATGTCAATTGCATTGTGGATCTGAAGTACAATTTCAGATACTACTGGATGTTGGTTGTGTATTTACATTTTATTTTTATCTATGACTAAACAATTATGTTGCATTTTGAGTTATGCATACTGTAGAGATGGGGTGCTATCCTTTAGACTGTTTGTAGTTCTCTCTAGTGGTTTTTTGCTTCATAAATATGTTTGGCCCAGACCATACACTCATGGACTAACATGAGTAAGGCAGACAGAGATTACTGCCCATCTCTGATGCTTCATGGCATTGATACTCTTCCTGACATGGACCTGATGTACAATTCCAGTTGCTGCGAAGTTATTGGTGATTGATTCCATCAACATGGTAGCTCTGCTTCTTAAAATAGGGTATTGCAGTCGTCTCTTGCACTGTCTCCAGTGATGCAGTCCTCTGGACTCTCCAATGCATTTTTTCCTCCCTTTCTGCTACTATGGAAGTTCTTACCACTTACCAGTTCCTAGCCAGTTGAGAGTAGGGCAGTGGTATTCTGCAGGTGTTGCTGGTGTATTGCACTTCCTACTGCAGACCTGATGTTCAATTCCAGATGCCACCAGGTTTTGGTTGTAGCACTATGTAGTATTCCTGTCTATATATATCTACCTGATCGTTTTTCTTACCATAGCATTCCTCCTTCCTACTATCCTCCAGATGTACATTCCTGGTGGGTTTCGTTTTGGTGGGAGGTTTCCCAGTGACAATTATTATCATGTGTAGATGGCATGACACCCCTTCCTACCGCAGACCTGATGTATAATTCCAGATGCTGCCAGGTTTTACTTGAAGCACTCCGCCATGTCATGAAGATATATATATATATATATTATATCTATTATTGCAGTTTGCCCCTCACGTTGAGATGTTCCTCCTCCTTACCAGATGTTTATTCCCAGTGGGTCTGGAGTTGCTTGGAGATGGTCCAGCTAAGTAAGTCCTCACGTATGTGCTGACTGGTATTCCTCCTCCTCCTGCATATTGGATGACAAATGGCCACTGCTGCCAGGGTTTGGACTGGAGGTGCACCCTAGGTTTGTGGTCACTCTTATTACCATCTGCTGGATGTTGGTTCTCAACAGATCTAGTGTTGGTTGTAGCTGGATGCAGCACATATTTTCGTGCTTGTGTATAGCCAGATATCCTCCTCCTACCATGGACTGGAACTACCATACCCATGCTTACAGATTTTGGACTGGAGATGTCATCCTGCCAGGGCATTCCACCTTTCTACCATCTGCTGGTGTTGGTTGTGTTAGAAATGTGTGCAAGTGGAGATGAATTTTGGTACAGAAACTCGTCTTACCTACCGATTCCCATTTCGAGGTGAAGAGGTAGGTAATCCTCCAGATACCACATGGTGTTGGATGTTGGTGTTGAACTACCACTATGGTTGGTCATGCCCTAGCCACTTGACACCCAGGCATCCCATTAATTGGTCATACATATTCTGGGATTACTTCATGTTTTTCCACCTTTTATGTTCATGAGCAAAGAATATACCTGGATCAGATGTGGTGCAGTCTCCTGCTGAGGTTTAATGTTTACTATTTTGGTTCCACACCTCGTGGTCTCTCTTTGGGTGCTTCCTAAAGGGCGATCTTTTTTTTTATTGGCCCATCACCAGTTCAATGAGGGATTCTAAATATTTTGTGAGAGGAAGTAAGATATCATGTCTGAAGTTAGCATTTTCCTACACTGAAAACACATTTCCAATAGATACTTACCTCCTCTCACATTTCCCACCCAGCCTCCTCACATCTGATGCTATATGGTGTGGGACTTCTGACCAATCCCGAAGTGATTAAAGAGTGCAGATGTGAAGAGGGCACTAGTTATGATCAGACTGGGGTCATACTCTTGGAGAGCTGCTGCATGATCATTTGCATCTGGATGCAGAAGCAGGAGGTGGAAGGCTAGTGACATGCATTGAACATTTGCACTGATAGAGGGCAGTACTAGTCAAGAAAAGCTATTTTGTGAAAGGAGGTAAGTATCTATTTGAAATACATTTTCAGTGTAGGAAAATGCTAACTTCAGGTATGAAAAACATCATAAGCTTATAAACATTAAGTTGTTGATATGGATGGAAGTTGAGAAAGAACACATTAAGATACATTTTACAGTACAGGGTTGAAGAAACTAAAAAAAGCTATAGATCAAATAACTAAAAGCTTTCTGTAATAAGCAATGTTTAAGTGGCATGTGCTGACAGCGAGATTTTGTTTTCCCTTTACAGTGCATCATATCTAGCTAGAACCAGTTGTAACTAAACAGTAGTCCTGTTCCTGTAAATATATTAATGACTTAACAGTGTTACATATTATTAGACTGTTAGTCATCCATGTCTAGTCCTTTCTAACAAACACAATTAAATGAGTAAGTTATTCAACAGTCAACATTTTTTGAGTAAATAAAGAATAATGAATGTTAATTTGCTGTTATTTTTTTTTATTAAAGCAGTCCTTAAAAAGTAAACATGAACAACAAACATCATTGTAGCTAGTTACATAAACAGCGATCACTAAGCCACACTCACTTTGTCAAGTTTTATACAAGCAGTTGTGCCCACGGAAGTAGTAATAGACTAATATTACTTAGATAGTTAGAATATAAAAGAAAGAAGTAATAGGAAACATTTTGATTAGTTGGTTGTTTTTATGATATTAACTGAGTTAATCATAATTTTATTTAATTGATTATTTTATGTAACAGTAATTGATACTCATAGGTTATCAGATATGTCGATTAATTGAGTTTATCGCCCAGCTCCACATCTACATACCAAGGAGGTAGTAATTTGCCTTTCTCTCATATGCTTATCATTTAATAAATAATTTGTCTTTTAAGGAAATTTTAGTTATGGAACATGGTTAAAGCATTCTTTTAAATTGATACTATTAAATTTCAGTAGCTCAAAGGTTTTAGAATGAATTTTGGAAACTTGAAACATAAGACTTGTTTAAATACTTAACTTTTTTCCTTTTATCAGGGTGAAGACCCATCATGTGGAAATCCAAATTTTTGGGATGAATTATTTCTTCTGAGGGTAAGCTGAGTTTGGAAGGATAGTCAATATTTAGATATATTTTGTGTGTTTACTATACTAAAGTATTTGTGATATATCATTCATAAAATTTTGGCAAAAAATGTGACATCTTTTTTTTTTTGTATTATAAAAACAGAGTCATGAAAAATAACAAGCACTGTTTTTCTAATAAGCATATATTTTACATAATTTCTATAGTATTTTTGAAGTTTATTGATGAAAAATATTGTAAGTTTTTAGCATGACTTTTATTTAAATGAAGAATATAAAGCAAACATTGAAATATTACTTGAATTCCCTTTTCATGAAAAGTTCTTATTTGAAAACTGATGCAACTGACTTACATTTGTATGAAGACTAGAAACAAAGTTTGGTATATTTGGTGTCATCATGTTGCAAACAAAAATGAGTTACTGTATCTAATCAAGACTGGCAGACCTTTGCCAGTCTGTGTAATTTATGCAAGCACAAAGATATTGTGCATCAGATCATTAGAGGAAGAGACCATTGTGTTTTGATTTGTACACAAATTTCATGTTCATGCAACTTGTTGAAACATAATGAAAATAATTCTGCATTGTACCCGTCACCAGCATGTTTAATAAACTTATTTTTAATTTTGTCTGCATTTTTCCAACTATTTACACAAATGCTTCTTTTTCTTGTGTTGAAGTGTAATTGTTTCTTCAGTTATGGTTTGGCTTTCAGTCACTGTGAAATGCATGCACTGTATTTTGTCTATAGCCACATTTCTTGATTATGGCTTTGTGAGATACACCTGTAATTTTCCTGAACAATTTTTTTATATGATTAAATTGTGCAAGGACTTCAAGAAGGTTTGAAATTTACTTGAGTTCATTTTCACAGACCTTATACTTATAGAAATTTTTGATGTGATATTCAAATCATGAATTTGTAATGTTAATGTAAAAAAAACATTTTTATGAAATTGGAGCTTAAAAACATTAAGTATTTAAATGTATCATAAAATTAAAGTAAACACTGTTTATAAAGTTTCATTGAATCAGGTACATATACATATATACAGTGATTTATTTATGGCTGTAATTTTTTGATGATTCAAAGTTATTGTATTCAATTCAGCAAGATAATCATTGTTAAAGTGAAGTCCAATAAACATTTTTCAAGCATTCAATATGCATATTTGATTGTTTATTAAAAAATTAAATCTGTATAAATACAAATGCCATGTCATCTCATTTGTTGACTTTGTAGAATATAAAATAAGAGCCTCTTATCTTTTCCATTTGCTAAGATATTACTCAATAAATAGATCAAACACAGTGGCACCCATCCCACCTCTTTTGATTTTTAGAGACGCTCCATTATATACACTTCTGTATATATGACATGAATAACCAATCAGAAGCTCAGAATGCCCCCTTATAGGCTTTCTCAGCCATTTTAATGTGTTTGGATGCCATTTCTTACTTTTGAACCAAGATTTAAAGGAGGTAGGTTGTGTCTTTAGCCAAATCAAAATTTCTTTTTTTTTTTTGTA